TGGGGAAAATGACTGACGCTTCAAATTTAAGTTGTCTTTGCTTTTGAGGGTTAAGATAGGATTTGTACAAAATTTGCTTGAAACTTTAAAATGAATAGGAAGACATCTCATAGTTTAATAGTGTAAAGAAAAGACAAAATTTTAATTTTGAGATCAGACGTCTGTACATGTAGCCCTGTGAAGTGCTAGGGAAAAATGACAAAACTTTCCATCTGGCTTAGCTTGGAAAGGAACTTCTTAATCTCCTAGCATGAGTGAAGCAGTTGTAGGACAGCTTTATACCTCCTTCTCAGAGCTTCAAGGGATGGTTCACCTGTCACCTCCAGCTGCCCCTTTGTTTCCTGTGTGTAGCGTTGGCAGACGGTGGAGCAGAGTTCCACTAATCTTGCACTATCCCAGTTAAAGTAATCAGTAGCTACTGCGACTTCTTTGTGCCAATGGAGCAGTGCGGAGACATAATGGCTCCAATAAACAAATGTCTTCTTTAAAAAGACATGTCTCAAAATTCTCAGCACTCTATCCTGAGAATTTTCTAATAACATGCTATTCTTTAAGAACTTCACATCAGATCTCAATATTTGTTATCCAAATGTGTGACAGCAGTCTTTAAAATATGTGGTAAAAAGCCACAAAGGAGAAACAGTAATTTTAAGGGTTTTTTTTAAATACTGGATAATTTATTTCTAGTAGAAAATTTTCTGTAATATACAGGATTCAGCATTTTTAGATTCGGTGCAGAAGAAACACGGGTTTTGTGTTGCTTTGGACTAGTGATGCTCCACCTGATGGTTAAAACAAAAAGTCTTCAGAAGGCTGTCTACACATGATTTAGTCCACGTGGGTTGAAGATTGCTTTAAAGAACTGTTGTGGCTATTGCAGAAAGACCTGACACTTCCCATTAGCAAGCCCTATGAGAGTAATAAAACCAACTTAATTTATGTGTTCTTACCATTATTGTGATTTTTGTTAGTGTTGTTCCTCTATAGGAAAAGTTTGGGTGTCTTTTTTGCTTACATCATACCTCAAGGTGTTAGGATAACTCAGGTTTTTTTCTTGGCCTTCCCATAATTTCATTCTGTGTGTTTAAGTAACTTAATCTGTCTCTGTCTCCTAGTTTGGTTCCTAATGTGCAAAATTGGGACAATAGAAATTCATGATGTAATCAAGTTCTTCTCCATTACCGTGGTGAGATGTTATGATATGGTAGTAAGTGCTGTAGAAATGCCTGCATTTTGTATGTCTCTGCATAGGTAGCATTTCTCCATCCATCATCATAATACTATTTAGTGATAAAGTTTTTCTACCCCTACTACTGTAGTCAGTGTCATGAAGCTGTCTGGCAGCAGACATCGTCGCTCTTGTGGCACATTTGTAGTGGATCTCCTACTCCTTCCTAATGGTGAAAGGATACCTGCCAAGAGTTGAAAGGCAGGCAGGCGTTGCTGTGTGAGCGCCGTCTGTCTCCCATGTCTCCAGACATGCCACATCACAGTCCTTCGTGAGGCTCTTCTTTAAACACCAACACAACTTAATTTTTTATTTGTTTCAGTAGAGATTCCAATGTTTTCTGGCAACTATTCTCTATTTTCACATTGTAGTTATCAGGGTGGTAAAGAGCTTTAAAACCTCCAGTAAATGTCGCAAAATACTTATTTTTGCAAAAAGAAACTCTTGTTTCTCTCTGTCTCCTTGTACAGTGAGATTTTTAGCCCCTCTGTCTAGGACTTGAGGTATATTTATAGCCTTTTGAATACAAGCACCATTTCAGGGCCTTTTGATATTTTTTTGCCTATACATGTGTAAATAATTGACTATCGTGTGTAAGTAATTGCACATGCAAATAGGTACCCATCCAATGTTATGTATTTATAATCAAATTCATAATACAAAATGAGAATAATTTTATTTTAAATATGAAAGAATTATTTTAAGTGTGTTCACAGGAAACTTAATCCATATCCGTATGTATGTGTTTGCAGGAAATAAATTATGCTTTTCACAACCTGGTGGTAGTTGTTAGCTCATAGGGATTGCTGCATTTCTGCATTACAGCTGTATGTTTTCTAACAGAAGCAGAACTATCTTATACTTGCAACTTCAAAATGTAGGTCATTTGTTGGTGAATGTAGGTCAGAGTGAAGGGGAAGAAGACGGAATGCAAACTCCTCCACCTGGATCTTTAAGCTTATCCCTGTTTTGAAGGTAAAGAGGCTTATCTACCTGTTCAAGCACGAGAAGCTTTTCCTTTTACTAAAATTAACGCAGGTATTCTGGCTTCTGGCTTCTTGGCTTAGCTTGAGACCTGTGCTCGTGAAAGACCTCCTGACTCCTGCTTCTTTAGCTGCCAGCCACTTACCTCATCATTGCTGAGGTGACACTTCCTTCCCTATGGGGAAGGGAGCGGGGAGGAGAGGCGTGTGCATCGCTAGCATCTGCCCGAAGAAGGGCATTGTCTTTCCAAAGGTGCTTTACCCTTCTCTCAGCACAGAGCTATCTGATACACCTGCAGTTTCAGCCGGTCTCAGCATTGTAATGGTAGCAGGGGAAGGAACGGTGACCCCTCATTAAAGATTTAGTGACACCATTCCAAGTGCCCTTTCAATAATAACCGTAGAAAAGTGAAAGACGTTTGACTGAGGGTACTGAAAACTCAGATGTTGAAGAATTTTGCTACAACTGACAAGTATTTTTAAAACTCGCTCAGGCTAAAAGTTTGCTATGAAAGGATTTAGGATTTTTGTGTTTATGGATGTGGGTTTTTTTTGGTAACGTGAGGTATAAGTATTATAAATGGTATTAAATTAGCCGTGTCTTCACTAAATATTAAAAAGCACTTTTATTGCTTGAGTATACACCAGTCACTGCAAACTGAAACATTCTTTATATTATACACTAAAATATTTAAACAGTTATTATATTTATTGCAAAATCTGTCATTTTAGCATATTTCAATGCTCAAATGCATTGAAGTGCTCAAAAGGGAGATGGAAAATCCTGTACAATTCTTAGTGTATGTTTCACTGAAAATTGGGTAGTCGTGTGTGAATATTTTATTTTAACCCTTAGCAAGTCTTAGCAAAATAGCACATTTGCAAACACCTAATCAGCCTAAACTGTCATAAACAGGACAAATACCAATATTGCTTTAGTGTTTTTGTCATATATATGAATCATCACTCTATTTTTTTTACCTTTAAGATCTTTGTTATGCAAAAAGTTATACGCAAAGTTTTGGCCCAATCCTGTCTGGGCTTTTGCTTGGCCTGCATGCAGACAACACATTCATAAATTTTCATTATTTATCACTATGGGTAAGGGTAGTTCAGAATACTTACTGGATGGAAAGGAAGAATTATATATTTGATGTTTACAATCAGGCTCTAAATGATTTAAAAGGAAGACAGTTTTGCTCCCAAACTTGTGCTTCTATTAAATATGTTGTGATGTTTTTAAAGTCTCAAGAATAAAAAAATTATAAAAAATGGTCTAAAGGATGCACATACATAGTAAGCTGCATGGAATTCAGTTTACCTGTCTAGGAATATCTAAAGGATGCTCCCACATGTCTGTTTTTAATTTTACTGAAACCGTTGAAGTATCTGTAGTTCATACGATTAAGTTCCTGTCACATTAATTCATAATGCTGTATGTTGTGGGGGGAGGCTGACCCTGTTTTTTACCTGTGGATAGACATGTAAGCATGTTTTTTCATTGCTAAGCAACAACAAATGGAAAACGCATACAACCGTCATTTGGCCGCATATGCCTTTGATTCATCCTCCCTTAACTTTGGGAACTTAACTCAAGTGCCTGAATACGAGTCTGTTTTCCCCAGGCTCCCTCCAGCAATGGAGACTGGTGCCTGCAGGAGAGCGTGCAAGCCACACAGGATCTGTGCTGCCCTCACCGTGAGCCACGGTGCTCCAGTTAGATGTTCGAGTGAGGTGGGAAACTGGTCTGACGAAACAGCTAGCTTCATGAGTGAATGGTGATGAAGGGGTAACTTTGCACGGATGCCTCCAAGTACTTGCCAAGGTTGACAATGACCAGTGTAAGTTTTTGTGATGGAAGCTTATAAAGTCAAGAATAATACAGATTAGGTGAAAAAAGCGTGATTGCTCCTGTCTGTTCCCATATGAGAACCGGAGGGCCTCAAATGAAAATGACAGGGAGGCAAGCACAAAACAAGAGAGAGGAGATGTTTCTTCACACAGCACGGTAAAACTGTGGCACTTCCTGCCACGGGATGTTGCAGCTATGGAAAGTTTAGTGGAGTCCACAGAACAACAAGAAAAATCATTTGGTGACTATTAAACAGAACTTATCACTTGTATCTCCTCTCCTCCTCAGGAACTTCTTGAGCCACAACTAGAAATCATGCTGCGTTATTGCCCTAGTCGTGTATTTGTCCTTAGCACATTTGTCCATGTGTTGCTGGTCAGTGTCCCTTACAGTCAGACTGATGCCTGACCTAACAAAACCCAAGAGAAAAGGAGCTAAATAAAAAGAAACTGGGAAGAAATGAAATTACTCTAGAGGACAGCCAATGAAAAAGGAGGGGGCTCCTGTCCAGTGTTAGAAACAGGCTACAAGGCAAGGTGGGCCTTGCATCTGGCCTGGTACGAACAGTTTGATGTTCAGATAAATGCCCAAATGTCAGAAGTTTCATAGAATTAAATTTTATATAACTTTTGAAGTCTTTAAAGGCAGCGATCAGTCTAAAACATATGTTTATGTTTATGTGTGCGTGCGTGTATCTGTAAAGTAAATTTCTGATCATTAGTCAGGATGAAATCTATGAAATATTCAGTTCCGATGCTTAAATCAGAAGTCTTCCATTAAAAGTCTTATTTGTTTCTTTATTCCATGGTATTATGGCAAATTTAGAAAATGAAACAGTTGGTAGAGGTCTGCAAATGGTAATATGTATTCAAATATTATTGTAGACAAAAAAAAAATCTGTTCTAAGAAGGCAAATGTCTTTGTTTTATAGGTCTCTGGCCATCTGAAGAAGTGCTAGCTTACTACTGCCTAAAGCACAATGAAATATTCAGGTACAGAGTTAAACATAAAAAGATATTTTCCAATCTCTTAGTTTTATTGTATCTGCATGGTAAAGATTGCTATGATTTAAGTCTTCAGATTAAATTTGAAATGTTCAAGGTGAAAGCTTGTTGCTCTTAACAAAGAATTCTGAGCTGCCTTTGGGTACTAATATTGCACAGCAAGCTTTCTGCTATATGTCAAAGACTTTTGATTTCCACTCAAGGCGTTTTATTTCACTTTGATTTTTGGGAAACAAAAGTGAAGCTCCAATCGATCAGTACTGATTGTGAAGGTCAGGAAAAATAAAAGACATTCTTTAAACTGACATCTGTTGCAAAAGCAAGCAAAATATTACCCGATAAAATACATAATAATCACTGCATATAGCGATGGAGGAATTTGCACCTGTATTTAAGTGTTGTGAAACAGTTTTGAGACATCCTACACTTTTATTTGTTCTTGTTTTTTCACATTTTCTAAACTTGTAGAAGACAGTTATCAAGGCTCCAATAGAAACACCTAAAAATAAAATCCATCCTGCATCCTCTTTCTTTCCCCTTGAGTATACAGAGCTTTGCACTTGGAAATCCTTGAAGTTTCATTGTCCAGAGGATGAATGGGGTGCAAGAAAAGCCATTATAACAATGCATTTGGAAGCATAAATTGTGTTCTGAGTGAGGGTGCAAGGCTAATACCAAGTAAACCAGCGTGGAGTATACAAAATCCCTCAGTCTGTGTACATACGGTGTTGGTAAAATAGCGAAGACCGAGCTGTAAGTCCCTGCCCCTCGTACCAAAGCTGAAAGCATATCAGCCGTGAGCTGGTTCCTGCAGCTTGCTCAGACTCCTATCTGAAATCAAAGACCGGGCACCAAAGCATACCCTGGTTCATAAAGCCTCATTTCTACTCCATCTGCCACCTGAACAAAGCCCACCCCATTAGAGGAGGCAGCTAACACACCTAATCTGGTAGTTGCGGCTCCTTCCTCCAAGCTGAGCTGGGCACTGCCTTGTGTGACTTTTGCTGCTGTGGTGGTGTCCCTGTAGCACTTCGCCCTCCAGCCCCATGTCGTGGCTCGTACGCTCTGCTTGTTCTCAGAGGCTCTTCACAGCAAACCTCCCTGTGCTGCTCACTAAAAGGGTATTTTCCTAGTTTGGGTATGCAAGCTTGGATACTTGGAGGCAGCGATCAGTCAAACTTCCATGGAGGAAATGGGCAGTTTCACATCCTGGTTTCTCAGGATTATGCCCTCTCAACAGTATGCTCAGAGTAGTGTTTCTTATTTTAATTCTCATCCATAAATGTCACTAAATATTGCCTGAGAGACAGATAGGATTTTTAAAATTTACCAATAAGGGAACTTCACACTGAAATAAATTATTTATACGCATAAATATGTATGTGTATATGTGTGTATGTATATGCTTGTGTATTACTTACATACAAATTTGGTTCAAAATGCACTAAAAACCCCACACTAGATACTTTCTGGGTTCATTTCGGTAAACATGACTCTTATAAAGGATTAAGTGCCTTGTAAATCTTATATATATAACCATATGTATATACTTCTAATATATATGACATACATGGTTTAGAAAAATAAAAACTTATGTGAGGAAAAACCTATAATCCTTCTATTTAAACCACAAACTGTAAATTTCCCACATCTGTTTTATATTTTCATTGGGTTTATGTACAGCTTGTTCCTCCAAACTATGTCCGTCTTTTGTCTCATTTCCATTAAATAGGACAGCTAGACTTTTTTCAAATAAAATTTGTGGAGTCTAAGAAAAATAAATCTATCCCGTCCAGACAGCGAGCATCAGTAAACAGTCATACAGCCTATTCCGCTGGCCTCAGTGAACAAAATACCAGCATCTGTATACTGATACTGATATGGCATCCTAGATGCTCTTCCTAAATATCAGTGTCGAGTGAGTAGGGAGGTAGTACTTTCACATAAAAATAGATTTTCAAACGTTGGTATTTTAGGGGAGAAGGAAAGGTGCACCAAAAAAGAAATCTGTTTAGCTGAAATTCCATTTTCTGCCTGTCAAAAACGTCTCAATGGGAGTGTTTCTGCCAGCTGTAACAGTTGCCGCAGATTTAGCTGTAAAGCAGCGTGTTCCTAAACTGAGGCTCTGCCTTGCCCTAGACGCCGCTTCACGCGGTTTCGGCGCGGGGTCAGCATCCCTCCCTCCTCCCCTCCTGGGGCAGGCCATGGCTCTGGAGGACATTCTTTATGGCTCCCCCGCAAGCTCCCATCCGGCACGCTCTCTGCGCCAAATTATATTTCACATGCACGTCTTAATAACAGCGCAGTATGGTCTAAGTTAAAAACAGCCTTTTAGACCATGTATTCAACCCTCTGCTCGGGCTCAGTTTAGGCTCTTGACACTAACTTCGTTTAGTTTTCTGTGGCTTAATTGTTTGCTGTTCCCATCGTTGTTCATAACAGCATTGTTTGTAGGTCACTTGCAGTTTTAAGTGCTAATTGAAGGATCGGATTTCTTCATGTGTAATTGTTTTGCGGTATATGGCTTGTTTTAAAACTTCTCTCTTTTTAATATAAAAAGGCTTTTAGGCATAACTATATGGAGAGATATATAAATAATATTAATTTCCCCATTTACTTCTCTAACTGTTTTTGCAAGAATGAATGTGGATTAACATTGTTATCCTTTCCTAACAATTATCTTTCGCTACTCTAGCTAGTTTAGTTCTAAAAGACAGAGCCATTGACAAGGGAAAAAAGGGAACCTTCTCAGATTTTTCAGCTCAGCGGTGGTAATGTTGCACTGAACACTAATGAGGGAACCCCCACTGATTTGCCTGCTTTGTGACTTTTCTATTTCATAATTATTTTTAAAACGCAAAACGACATGAGGTAGCCTAGTCATGTCTCTACAACTTCCTGGTAGCTCAGTTCTTACTGCAGATGGCAATTTGTTCTTGTAACATATATGTGTCTCTGACCATTTTCATCTAATTTGTATGGGTTCTACCATTTCCTTTCTCTCTTTCAGGGACCTTGCTGTGTGTGAGCTAGGGGGTGGCATGACATGCTTGGCTGGGCTCATGGTAGGTCTTTTCTCAATTCCAATCCCATTCAGAGGAAGAAACAAAAGGAAAAATGTTCCAGTGCCTCCAACTGCTGGGTCAGAGAACTGTCAACAGCCTCAGCTGCGGTCAAGCTGCAGAGTCTTGAGAGACCTTCTAGATTGACTTGCTTTCGTATCATATTGATTTTATGGTTGCCTCGATGAGCAGAAACATTTTACCTCTGTGTAGTCAATATCTCTTGTTGTGATATTCCAGGCCACGTACGGTCTGTCTTTCATTGCCATAGCCGAAGCATTTTTTTTTTTTTTCAGATTATAGTCCCATTTGCTAAGATACAGGAATAGCCTGGCGAATCACAGTTGGAGCACCATGATATAGCTGCTAATGTTTTGCCTGCATTATTACACCAACAAACATGATCCAGAGCTCTCGGTAATTAGATTCTTTTGAATTAGATTGGCCATTCAGGAGAGTCGTTCACCATTCTCTGGGTTCTGAGTCATGTATTCAGGAGATATTATGTAGCAGTGCAGTGCATTAGACAAGTTTTTATGTCTCTACAAATAAAAGCATATTGTTACACTGATTGGCATTTGACAAACCTGTCGCTCTTATACAATGTGTCGAGGTTACAGCCCAATGTGCGAGCATGTCAAAGCTCACAAAAAAATTACCCTTACAAAGCCATCTGCCTGCAATGCAAAGTTATATGAAGGGCATCAGGCAGTCAGACAGAAGCAAGCTGAAAGGCAGAGTGACAGCCTTGTATGATGGCTCTACTAGATAAACAGAAGCCCGCAAATGAAAGCCTCTCAGAATACCATCATCCGCTGTCACAATGCAATTACGGAACAGAATGATAGCAAGATAGAGGCTCCCGCAAATGGAATGATAAAAGTATTGACTGATTTGATTGAATGATTAAAATAATGCAGACATAAAATGAAAAAAGATTGAAGATTGTTACAGAGAAATAGGTGAGGAAGCATGATACTGAAGGCTTGTCACTCCTGTCTTCACTTCCACACAGACAAGCATATTTGCTCATTGTTTGCTGTGCTCTTTTTTTCAGGTTGCTATTTCTGCAGATGTCAAAGAAGTTCTGTTAACTGATGGAAATGAAAAGGCCATCAAAAGTATCCTTATTCAGATAGAAAACTGGTTTGTTGTGCTCGTTCCTTTTTACTGGCTGAGTAACAATCGATATAAAGACAGACAGCATGGGGTATATTAAGAAAAAGTCCCCACATAAGTAATTAAAAAATAGATGTAGAATATCTTGAACAGAGCTATAGCTTCCCCCACAATAAATGCCACGTTTTCTTCTTTGATTAAAAATGTACATGTTGGTATAGAGCAAGTATAGTAGTAAATATTTGTCTTATGGTTGAGTGCTGAAAGATTCCTTGTGTGTATGCTGCACGTTACAGGAGGTGTAGCAGTGAATCAAATCGTTAGCTCCCCTTCACAGATTCGTTTTGCAGAAGAACTAGATTTTTTTTTTCACTTTCAGATACTAGCCTCTTAAAACATACCCAGTATTTGTATATTGTCATAGCTTTTCCAGTGTTTGTTGAAATGCATGGTTTCATTGTTGCTGCTAAGTTATAACTGCCTACAAATTGCCCATTTAGTGTGCTTAATCAATTATCAATTCATCATTATTTCTTTTGATGTAAGATTGCAAAAATCCTCTGTCCCTTGTAGAAAGTATTTTATTATATTTCTTATATTAGAAAAAAATTGCTATTATGCCCTTCTAATATGAACACATGGTTCAGAAAATTGAACTGGACTTTGGCTAAGCGAGAGAATGGGTGAGCATAATTTGTGGCCGCATTAAATATCAGCACAGGGCAAGAACAGATATATACAGTGAATACTAATAGCCCTTAGAAATTGAGAGGGGAGAAAAAGGAAGATATCTATTTGCTTTTGTTCTTTGGTAATCTTTCCGTTTGCATTTTAAGGCAGACTAGCTTTTCAGGTTTTGGCCACTGCATCATCAGAATTATTTAGATTTGAGTTTTGTATGTATTTGAGAGCTAACATAATGAGTACTTAGTGAAAAAAATAAGTTAAACTAATTTGTGGTTTAAAAAAATTGCAGTTGCTGATGACTGTTAAAACAGGAGACATTGCAGTGCAATAATATTAGCTACTACCTTTAAAAGGACTTTCTTAGAGGTAACTGAGGTAACTATAATTGCTTACAACACTTTAACAATTTCATGGAAAAAACAGCCAATCCTAGATCACATCTTTTAAAACTTGAAGGAAGCCTTATAAGTGTCTCCTTTTTCTTGAAAATGCAAGTTCTCAGTTGTGCTTCAGGGATTCTTATTTTGTTAGATTCTAGTTTGTTATACTCATGTCTTGAGGAGGAAGTATTCATTATTCTGTGTATTTTAATCAGCATCACCCCTTCCAATCTTTCTTCTATGTCATTATGAAGATAAAAAATGTGGGAGAAAAAGAGTGCTTCAAAACTAGCCTAATAAAACAAACCGATGTTTTATAGAAGCATAGGTATTTAACAAAAGGTCATTTTACCCACAGAAAGCTTCAGGTGAGCTCAGTAATCATCAAGTCAGCAAATATCTTGCTTAGCAGATTCCATAAACATACCTGAACTTTTTTGAAATTTAGAAGTCTTCTATAGCAAGGAAAATTGGTGAGTGCTAAAAGTATTCACTCAGTCTTCGGAATTAAACAAATTAAAGTGCTTTTATTCCTGAAAAAGATACTGTTAATGTCATCTAATTACCACACCTTAGTTTTTCACAATATGTTTTAGAAATATCTTTTATTTCCACAAGTCTCACAAGAAGTCTTCATCTGTATTCACTCAGTGAATCCCTTTCAGAGAAGCGATTGGTGGAAGGCCCTAACAGGAATTTATTTTTCTTTTTTAACATTTGGTGCTCTGAAGGCTCAGCATTCAAAGTGCTTTTATTGTGTTGGATTTTACAATGGGCTTAATATTAGCAGGGTGCCAAAGTGCAGCAGACTAAGAACTTTCAAGTGTAGGTGGAATGTATTCTTAAAAGTGCACATAATAAAATTTATGTTGCATTTTATGTGTTTTATGGACTTCGGTAGTAATTTGATGATCTGCTTATGGTGATTTTCCTTTGCATTCTTTTCTATAGTGACTAGCTATAACAGAAGTTTAGGCTAAATTTAAATCCGTTTCAGCCACACCAGACTCACTGAAATCAGTAAGAATTTTAGTGTAATTGGAAATAGTATTTGGCCCCAAGTGCCACAGGCTACACATGATGTATTTCTGCTAATTTTTATTATTGCTGATGGTATTTTTTAATTGTTTAGCATACCAAATTAAATTAATGTGGGATAAAATACTGTTTTCTTTTCTAGATTCTGCTCTTCAGGAATAGTTAATGCCTAGTATTATGCTTTTTATGTAGGTATTATAGGTTAAAATAATCTTGTTTAAAAATTACTGTTTACATCTTCCCTTTAAATTTCTTAGGAAGCTTAAATTACATGCCAGTCATACTATAATATCCAAAAATTACTTTCCAAAAAGTAAAAGTGGTTGTCAACAAAAAAGAGAAAAAATCACTGTCAGAAGCCAGGAAATCACCAAGCAAGCCTGCTAATTATTCTTAATGGGCAAGATGAGCACATTAAGAAACAAATGAATACATCAGTGAAATGTAATTGAAAATCGACCTGGCAATAGTGCATTGCATCTGAGAATCTGCCTTTGTATTATCATCATCATCATAATTATTGTTGGTTTTGTTGTTGTTATCGCTATTCAGTGAGCGTAACTAACAGCTTTGCTTTGTGAAGTCTCAAGCTTTTGAGAATTTGATTTTTCTTTTAATTTTTGACATTCTTCATATTATTCTCCATTTCATACTGCCACATGAAGTATTCACTATGTATGTTTTCAATATCTGTATTAGGATATGTTATTGAAATGTTACAAGTTAAAACAATTTACGAATATGTTAATTTCAAATCATTGTTGTTATTTTAACCATTTCACTGTGAAATATATAGCTATATTTTATATTAATCAATGGTCTTATGCATGAGGTTTATGGGGGTTTTTAAAAGAATATTATGATTTGAATTACTAGTCTATTTAAAAGACTTCACTCCAACTCACTCCTTTTGCTTATCATGGGCAGATTTTAATTGATTAACAGATCATTTATATTGCAAAATCAATAAAATAAAGACAGATGTTATTGCTTTTGCAGCTTCGTTCAAAACTTTATTGTTGGTTTAGTGTGTTTTATCTAGGTTCCTTCAGGATCGTTTAAATAAAGAAAGGATTAAAAAGAAAAGTATAGATATTTCAAGTGAATAATAAACACACACGTAGGCAAAGTTATCAGATTCATCCCCCTTTGTAATTTTGGGTGATAGCATTCAGATACAAATTTTCCAGCTTAGGTAATGTCTATGACATAGTCAGTATCATGAACAGCAAATTCTATTGCCCCAGAACACTGGAAGCATCTATACTCAGTTCGACATGTCCAAATCCAAAGATGAAGTTCATTTTTAGTAAAAATTGTCTCCTATTTCAGAGAGGCTGTGTACCTTCTGCCTTAGCTCTGTTTCACACCATGCAGTAGTGAACAGGCTTGAACTACTGTCTGAAAGCATCAATAATACAAAACATTGTTGCAGCGCACTATAATGGCCATTAAAATATAGCGTATGGATCTTTCAACAGTCCTGCAAAATTTAGGTTAGAAAGGTCATGTTCAGCCTGAATGCCTGAAGACATGGGCTTATAAATTATTTTAAAAAGCTAGTGTTAACATGTTTACAACAATTATAAATAGTTTTGCTCAGTTATGTAATTTAAGTGCAGTGTAGCTAATTTACAACAATGTTACTTCTGCCTCTACTTAAAAACAGCATACTTTGCTCATGGAATGATTCATGCCTTCCTTTTGCTTCACAGGCATAGGCTATTCATTACTATTTCTCATTGCGTGTTGTGGAAAAGATTTAAAATGCGTGTCCAAACTACAGAGATTTGTTTAAACCAGTTTTCTGTCATTCCATTTCTAGTTTTTGGCTTCACAGAATATCAGTGGTCTTTTCTTTCTCATTGTTTGAATAGACGCTTTCCTAAAATAACTTTTCCTAAATAGTCAACTGTGTTGCAAGGACAATTACATGATTTCAGCAAAGCAAATAAAAAGATATATTAGTGATATTTTAAATTAGCCTGACACTGTGTTCAATTTTCTTATATGAGCACTTGCAAAGAAGAATTCATCGTATTTTGTGCACCTAGAAACATCCTCCTAATTAGCATTTGAGAGTGATTTGTTCAAATATGTATGGGCTCACACTGGATGCCATTTAGTATTCTCATAGTTCCTTGGTTACTTGTGACACCTTCTCCTTCGTATGGCTTCTCACTAACCGCAAATGATTGATTATAAAGGTTATCTTTCTAGGCATAGATGACTGGGCAGAGCTTCCCTTGAAACTTGTTATTGACAGCCTTTGCTTTGGCCTGCCTGAATGGCTACCCAATTTTTTGACCTGATCTTCCAAACTGAAAGAAGCTGAGCCATGAGGCTGAGGCATTGAGACACGAGGCTGAGGCACTGTTGCAGTGCCTATGGGGAAGAAAAGGCATTTATTGCTTTTTACTGTCTTTTACGGTGGTTCCAAACCATTCTCAAGAAAGCAAATGGACTAGAAACTCCCTTGCCTACAGGTTAAGGTGCTCCCGTTGTGTGTTGGATTTCACCCAGACAGAGCCAGGAACAAAGGTACGTGTCTTGTGGCAGGGCAGAAACTCAAATCCCATAAGCCTCCAAAACCTCAGCACTGTGATCTAGTGATCCAGTCAGTAGAGGTAGGCAACAAGAGCAAGTTGCTGCATAGATTTAGGCTGATGTGCTGGAGTCGCAATGTAAAATTTATGCTTGTAAAAGACTGACTATTAGCACAGATTAAAGAAGACCAAACAGATAAAAGACATTATGAAGGTATTAACAATGGGAAAAAGTATTTTTTATTCTTTTTATTACTGCTCTAGTTTTAGAGATAATTCTTAACGAATATGCTACAGATGTAAGTGAGATCATCACAAGAAACCAAAGTGCAGGAGTATTTAAGGCTCAGAAAGTGTCAAGCTGGTAAGATTCTACTAAACTCTTTTACTGATTCTTGCATGTAATTGTATATTTAATGTAAATGTGAAATGTATGCAAAAGTGTGAAAGTGTGACCTCTATTACTGATGCTGACACAGGTGTGTATACAATATAAGTAGGTAAGTGATGCAAGACAGAAATTTGGAAGTATTAGAAAAAATTTAATTGCTTTTTAACATAGCAAATACAGTATGATTAATCTTGGTGACATAACCTCTCTTTCTTTATATGTTTTTGACATACACTATGTCTCTTCAAGCTTTAGTGCATAGTTGAAATTTGGCTGCTTCAGAGTCAATTTTACCCTTGTACTGAATATGAGGCTTGGAATGAACATGCCTAAATCACTGGCAGATTTCATTTTAAATAGCTCCGAGAATTCAGGGTGGCAACAAATCCCCTGAGGCAGATGTTGTCGGAGCATCCATGAGAGGTTTTTTGGTCATCCTCTCTGCATCAGTATCGTGTTGTTGCTGCAAGGACAGGCAGGGAGCATGGGAGCCAGGCACAGTGTGCTGGGTCCCTTCTCTCACTGACTATGTCCTAAGGTGCAGGGCGCACCCAGCATTTTTCTCATGGTGCACCAGCTCTGTTGTCTCCGAATTAGCCCCGAAGGCATGCTCTGGAGGGTGAGTGTTGTAGAGGTTCAGAGAATTTGGTTTCAGATAGTCTCCAGAGCCCTTCCTGACCCACCCTGTAATAGGTGGTGCCACTGAGGTTAGCTGTTTAACTATTTCACTGAGGCATCTTCAGGTGCAGTAGGGACTGGAAGCAGCTGAAAATTTGAAGTGTGTTCATCTCTTGTAGTATTTTAAAAGTAGATTGTAAAGTACTTAATATTCATGGTATAGGATTAAGAATTAGAATGTGCTTAGAAATGGCTACCTAAGAGCAAATAGTGCACTCTTATTTGTGTCTAAATCTTCTATTTTTTGATGATTCTCATTCCAGAAGGGCTCTCAGTCCTTCTCAAAGTGACAAAAGTAAAGCTGAAAAAGGGCTGAGAAAGGCAAGCTGTTACAGCAGAATAAGCTTATTAACATAGAGGGTTAAACCCATACAATTTTAATGGCTATCATTCACATCATTTATCCCTATGCTTATGTAGCCATTCTGTGTAGAGAAGTTCTTTTAAGTGAGCACTTAGGGTTAGAAAAATTCTGCCTTCATTAGGGTGTATGTGCATATAACTTAGAGACATATCTCTGCATCCTAATAAGTGCCTGCCAAGTAGACAAAGGCCACGTGGGCCCAGGGAATGGTCTTTCAGGTTCCATGTGCTGAACGCTTCTTGTGAGCAGCCTCAGACACTCATCCCTGCTGAGGAGAGGCTGTGTGGTACGTCCATCCAGAAGCTTAGATTTTGTAGATTGCCAATTGCCGTCTACTTTGTATGAGATTTCAGATTTCATCCCTTGTCAAGACTTCAAACCTGGTCTTTTAGATAGCAATCAAAAGCACATTTTCTACCCTGTCTTCATTTACATTTATCTAATGCTTAAGGTCATTTGTGATCATTTGAGTGTATTTCAGCATATGGAATCAGTGAATAATAGATTTCAGCCTCACGCTGTGAAGAAAGGTTGTGTTTTTACAAGACATGATGTTTACTGGGTGTTAATAATCACTAATTAATAAACATATCTAGATGTCATAAAATGTTGCATTTTAAGGAGTAAAAATGTCAAGTGTTTAACTTCTTGAGTGCAATAGCATTTGGGGCCTATTTGCACAAATAAAATAATTAAATTACAAAATAAAATGAAGTACTATATCAAAACGTAAGGCTCATTATAATAAACGCATAATTTGATTTTTAGTTCTACATTCTTAAGGGTTTTGCAGATTTGTTTTGAGAGTGTAAAGTTTTATAAAATAAGTATTCAAATGACTCTCTAATCCCAAAAATAATTATCATCTTGCTTTTTTCTATCTTATACACATCAATAGTTGATTTCTCCTGTCAAAATTAAGGTTATGCTTTGGTTAGTTATTTGAGAAATGCTAATGGATGGATCAGTCCTTCAGATTCAATAATGACAAGTGATGAAGGCAGTAACAAACTTATTTGATCACTTCTGAAGGCCTCGAAGAAACTAAAAGGCTCACGTAAAATCTGAAATGTTACCGTAACCCTGATTCACTTTTCCTACAACCGAAAACCTTAGTTACACAATGATAACGGAGGGAAAAAAACCCACAAGAAAATGTAGTGTTTTGTAGGGAAGAATGCAACACTGGCATGCGAAGTGACATCAGGTGACTTCTTCTATGTTGATCAGAGCTTGCAGCCAAATTAATATAGTGATGTATTTTAAGTGACTTACTGCAACGTTAATTTAATCTGGAGAAGGCATGTTCCTCACTCTAACGTACCATTTAGTGTCCAGTCTTACAACTTCGCGCAGTGTCCAGTGCAAAGTTACAAGATTCTTTCCATATAAAAGATAATTCAGAATAGACCCTTCTCACTGCACCTTCATCTCACGTTGGGATCTTGTACTCTTTTCTTTGCACATGGAGCAGAAATTATCAGTATGAAAGTCAGTTTGTGACTGTTCCAGACATTTAAGTCTAGACTTGGAAAATATGCCAAAAAATGTATGGCGCAAAGAGGAACAATCCAGCATCAGCCAAGAGAAGTTAGATTAGGACAACCTGCCATACATTTATTTATTTAGACTTACAAAAAATGCAGTAAATGAACACTTACCTAGCGCTCTGCCAACTCTTGATTATTGTTTAAAAATACAGTAATGTAAGCCAAACTGGCAGTTTGTCATATTATGTGTTATAATGTAATAATAGATATTTAGTAAACGGTTTAATTCAGCAGTGGATATACAATTCTATTTTATTTTTAGCTTCCATGAGTATGTTCAGACTTTCTTGCTTACACTTTCTGGAAATAGGTACAGTAATGCCACCAAGTTACTAATAATGACTTGCCATAGTAAGGTGAATTATTAATACCATGTATGGGTTTGATGATTTGATTTTTTTCACAGTTCAAATATTATCCATGAATCACGTTGTTTACCCCATAATTTAGCATATGAGTTATCCTGATAGCAGTCTTTGTACCATCAATTGTTGTTAGTTTGACATGCATTATATCATTGTTTTGAACATGTCCACCAATGATTAAATTAGCAATACCAAAGTCAAGGAATTTTTGCTCTTTTTCTTCTCTTTATTTTAATGTGAAAATCTTCCTGAAGCAGGGATTTGGGTAGCAGAATTTTGAAAAATTGTTGTTATTACAAATGTCATGATGGAAAAGCTTTATCAAAGAGGAAGGCTTGCAGAATATTCTAAAGGTTAACAGACTCTGTCTGTCTTACCTACCAGGGAATTTGTTCCTCCATCAGAATCCCTTGTCTGAAAAGACCAAATCTGTTAAGAACAAAATTTGTATACTTATTGCTGATATGGGACCTGTGAGTTTTAGCTGTGGACAAGACTATCGTTTTGCTAAGAGTTGCCTCAGAGAGATTACATTCTACATAAGTGTGTAAGCAGGTACATATAACATCAAGGCAGTGAGAGAAATGCTTGTGGTATGATGCACCCTTTGATTTGATTAGTAATAATGTATCATACACTCTTTGTTCATTCTATAGTCAACATTAGAGCCCACATCAAGAACGTATGACCATGTGACCAAAAGTGACAATTCCTTCTTCTTAAATGTTAACAGATAGGTTATAATGTTATCCGAGATTTTAGTGTTCCTTACACATGTAATGAATTTACAAGCTTCCAGAATTAAACCTAAAAACAAAAAAAGTCTTTCTAAAGACTAAAAGGCATCCAGTATAATAGTGGATGAGGTCTCAATGACAGTGCGCTGAACTATATCGTCCTGATTCCGTTCTTATATTAATTACCTCTTCCTCTGTAACTGCCAACATGTGAATATTCTACCTCACGGCAGTGTTCTTCAAATATGCCAACTTTCTAACCTTCCTGATTTCAACTGGTCATGTAACAGGTTCCATCAACATAGGACAGCCTTAATATTCTCTCTCTGTTTTCATTCATCAAAATGACCTGAGTGTTGCTAAATTCAAACTTTTTGAAAACATATTTATTGAACTTGTGTTTGTCAGCTTGGCAACCCTAAAGGAATCCCTTTCTTCCAACTACTTTTCCAGTCTCCTCATGTAACACTCTTGCATGACAGCATCTATTGGCAAGGAGGAAGCTGCCAAAAAGAACGTTTCTTGCTCTTTAGTTAGAAAGAAAAGGCTCCTGGTTCCTGCTCTCTTAATTTGATCACTTTATGTATGTGTGGGAAGAAACAATGAACGGTCTGTCTGTTCACGCCCATTGTGAATTTGTAGCTCTCCATCACAGAAAACTCAACTCAGGTGGAAACCATTCCATACCTCTGATCATACTTGCCCTGCTCTCTATCTTTTCCAGTTTCAGTCTACTCATTTTCAGATGAGGGTGATCAGTACTGCATTCAAAGTGTGCATAAATGATAGATATATGTAGTGGAATAATTATGCTTTCTGTTCCTCTTCTAAAAATGCCTAACAGTGATTTGCTTTTTTGACTGCAGTTGAGCACTGAGCTAATATTTTCATGACACTGTCTGTCACAACATCAGGAGCTTTCCAGTGATGGTCAGTGTGGAGACCTTCTTTTTCTTTATCAAGCCAGAATTATTTTTCCTGTTGTGCTCTTTGCATTTATCCACACTGAATTTCATCTGTCATTTTATTGTCCAATTACTCAGTTTCATCCTTTTGCAATTCTTCACAGTCTGCTCTTTTCCTTACTATCTTGAATAACTTCTTAACATCAGCAAACTTTGCCACCTCAGTGCTCACCTCTTGAAAACATGGTGAACAGAACAGTTCCCAGGGGAACTCCACTGATTATCTCCCTCCATTGTGAGAATTGACCATTTACTACTGCCTTGTTCTCTGTCTTTTGTTCTATTATTTAGCCATGCCAGGAATCTTCCCCAGT